AGTATACTGTCACATAATTTTTTTAAAGATTAATTAATAGCTTGATTATTGATGATAAACCAATCTCTGGTATGTAAATATATATAATTATTTATGTAAGCTGCAAACATTTATTTTAAATAAATTACATCAAAAGGAAGGATAGATTGAATTTTACACAGCATACTCTAACCTCAGATGAAATATAGTTAATTTAATTTTATAGAGAAGGACAAGAAGAAATCAAATTAATAAAAAAGTAAAAATGCAGCCACAAAACAATATTCAATACCAGGGGATAAATCATAGGGTGTGTCATCATATAATATGCCCAGGTTTTTTGAGACCCAAGCGGCATTGGAGGTACACCATCTATGTGATTTGACCTCAATTTCATCGGCCTCACATGCTTAAAAAAAAGAAAGAAAAGGAGCAGATGAGGGTGCTCAAACCGTTACATTGTTATACCAGCTGTAATATTAGTATAGCTTTAATTTTCCACCCCTTTTTTTTTAGATTCACTTTTGTAGAGAAAGAAGATAAAAAATGAAAAAATAAATGACTAATGATAGGTTGGGGTTAGTATAGCTGTATATTAATATCATGGTATTTATGTCCAAACGCGTTAAGGGCTAAAATACTTTCTTTTCCCATGAACGTATATTGCTCTAATTATTATCTTTCTGATTATTGTCTGTGAGCAACCACCTTCTCACTTCTGACTGCAGACAGTGAAAGGTGGGCTTCAGCACACACATCTACTCATTTTTTTTCTTTTCTTAAGCATGTGAAGCAAACGAAACTGAAGTTAAACCTGATTAATGGTGTACCACTGACTCAATTTGGGTCTTATTTCCACTGGTGCCTCAAAAAACCAGAGCACATTACACAATAACCCATCCTATGATTTTTGTCCTGATGTTGAATATTTGTTTTGAGGCTGCATTTTTATTTTTCTATTTATTTATTCACTTATTTTTTTTTCTTTGTCTGGAAAATTAAATATAATTATATATTGTTAGTCTCTGTTCGTTTGTTAATTTTCCGTTAAAATTCTGTTGCGTCAGCGAGGTCACGTGACTAGTGTCACGCCACGTTTCTAGAACTATCTTGTTCCTTCGTGAATGCCCTAGCACTTACAAGATATATGTTTATCTGGTATATATATAAGACGCTCACAACGTGACAACAATGTGTGTGTAGGTAATGAGTAATTGAACTGCAGTCAGAGAGACGTATTGTTGAAGTAGAGCTCGTGAGACGTGAACTATAG